GCGCGGCAGAAGAGCCCGTCCTCGCGCAGCGCGAACTCGTCGCCGGGGATGAGCTGGCGGCTGCAGGCCACGCAGCGGAAGCATTCGATGTGGTACACCTTGGCGCGGGCGCGCATCACGAAGTCGTTCTTGCTGAAGCCGATGCTGCACTTGGCGCATTTGATCCCGTACAACCTGGGCAGGGCCGGGCCGGGCCGGGGAGAAGCACAGGGCAGCGGTCACTTAGGCGGACACTGTCCTGTCTGAGACCAGCGACGACCGGGCCCCAAGGCCCCGAGCCCTCGAGATCGGCATCCACAGACCAGCTGGGGTCGGAAGCACCGACGCCATGAGGTCTCGCTCCCTCTCCCTTTCCTCCTTCCGAACCCCTCTCCGGTCTCCGCGCACCTCTCTGCTCGCCCAGGCCGCGCCGAGGACAAATGCCTCCTGTGCTCTGAAGCCTGGGCCGCGCGCGGCTGCAGCGATCAGCCACCGAGTGGGTACCCACCCGCTGGCCCACACGTTCTAGAAAGGTCTCAAGACCTGCAACCAGAAGCCCTCCATCCAGGGGAAAAAGAGACCGTCACGCCACGCGCTGTGCACACACACCCCCAAATGCACAAGCAAACAACAAAATGAAACCGAGGTTTGCAGATCCATCCCGCACGAGTCCGCGGCGATTTGACCGGAACTAGAGGTTCCCCGCGGGCAACAATGTTAACAGAAAGTTTCCTCCGCGGTCGTCCTTTCATTATTGTTTTTTAAATCGGCTGCGGCTGCGGCTGCGGCGGCCCTCAACCCCTTTCCAGGGGCCGAAGCATCTGCCTCTAGTTCAGTCTGCGGGAGAGCCAGGCCTCTTCCTCGCGGCTGACCTTTCCCGGGTAGGTCCTTCGGGGCGCACTGGCCGGGCCCCTGGCCCGGTACCGGCGACAACAGAAGCGGGCATTGCTACAAAGTGACCCGCAGAAAGCAGGGAGGGGGCACCTAACTCCCCCAAAGGGAGAAGGCACTGGGGAATCTAAAGGACCTCTCTGTTCTGCGTTTACAACTACAGGATCTCAAAGGGAGGGCACACACACACACACACACACACACACACACACACACAAAGGGGTTGAGAGAGGAGAGGAAGGGCTAACAGCAATGGGCTCCTTCTACACGGTGTCTCCAGAGCTAGGCCCTTGCAGGTCGGTATGCAATCCTGCAATCGGGCACAACCCTATCTCCGTAGGGTAGAGATACCGCTCCGGGAGGCGAGAAGTGAGCGCTCCCTGGCCAGAATCGCCAGTTCACACACCGATCCGGTAAACAATGGGAAAAGGGCTCATTTGTCAGAGGTTAGAAGGTAGATTCCAAAGTTTGCCTCCCTCCGCCTCCTCTCGGTGAGATCTCCCATTTCATAGGATGAGGGCTTCACCTTGCTGGTGACCAAACAATTTGGAAAACCCCTCCCCCTTCGTGGGTTCCCCATTCCCCACTTCCTCCCACTCACCCCCCACCACCTTCAAAGTCTCCATAACTTCTCTTTGCACTGCTCAGTTGGATCTATCAAGATTCTACTCACCACTTCGTGCTTTTAAAATAATGCAAAATCCTGGACATGAAGCGAGCAGGAAAAATTTTAAGTGCATACTTAAATTTTGACTAAACTTTAAATAAGTTCCCAGCTCCAGAAAGAAACTCCAGGAGTTACAAGAAGCTAATTTTTTGTTTGTTAATAACCACCAGGGAATTTTTAAAAATATGTAATTTTGATATTTTTAACATAATAGCAAAGGTATTATCTCTTCGGTTTGTTATTGAAACAATAAAATTTTCTTTAGACATTCGACTGGCTTCCGAAGACAGGAAATGAAGTTTCTCCCACATATATACCCAGGTCAGAAGAAAGTATGAGATTAGCAAAGCATGAAGTTTAGACGCCGAATACACTGAAAGAAAAAAGAAAACTCAGAAAGTCCCTTATGTGGTTTTCAGTCTTGTCGGTATGGGCAATTCGCTCATTTTATCAGTTACCAGATTTTAATGTGAGAAAGGAAGCTGTTCAATTATCTAAATATACCAATTGTTCGTAGACGGATGATGGGCAATTTGATCTGCTCTGTCTAATTCATCAGCTCAGATAAGATAAGAAAGAAAAGACAGTCAGATGTCACCAAAGGGTTAATATTTAAAAAGATTAAATTTCCGGCCTTTTTGCAGAAAATATTTGGGTTTGTTTTTAGATTTTCAAGGTAGAAACTCTTAGCCTAAAAGTAAAAGGCTACTTGCTGTTTCAAAATGCATGTTTAGGTCTAACTTTTATTTTGCCCATTACACTGACATCTCCAAAGAATTTGTAAGTTACTAATAAAACCCTGAACTAAAGCATACAGGAAAGAAAAATACTGCACAATACAATAACAATCAATCTTTTTAAAATTTAGAAACCCCAATTTATCCCTCTATGCATTTTTTGTTTGTTTTGGAAGGGGGAGGGTAAAAAAAATATTTTGAGCACCAGAAATTCCAAGAGCAATTCAACAAGCTTCAGTAATACACAACTTATGAAAACGACTGTCAAATTTTGCAGGGGTTTTTCCTCTAAAAAGTAAGATGAGCAGCTTAGTTTAATTTATGCAATACACGTTCTGGGTAACTTTTGCACGCCAGACCCCACTAAGGCAAACTAGGAAAACAGGCGAAGTCACACCATTTTACACCAAATAATAAATGAGGCGTGGGGAGAGACAGGCACATCTCGGGAGGCGAAGGAAGCAGAATGTACGCGGCATACCTGATATAGTCTCTCTTACAGTAGGTTTTCCCATCTCTAACAAAGCACGTACAGCTCTCATCCAAATACTGATTACACTCCGCGCATTTCAAACACGCCGCGTGCCATTCCAAATCCGGAGAAACCCGCAGAATATACTGATCGTGAATTTGATTGCCGCAACCAACACATAGGGAAATCAGACGTTTTTCTGAAATGAAAATAAATACATGATTGACTAACCGTTTACTTCCTACCGAGATAAACACACTTTTAGGATCGCTCTCTTATAGGGCATACTCTGGGAGGTTTCCTCCTCCCACCCCTCTTCCTTTCTTTTTCTTTAAAGCGCATTGCACTTTGGAATGGTAATTGAAGCGTGCCATCAAAACCCTGACTCGTTTTTTTCAAAAAAGGAGGTGGAATATATGTAAAATGCAGATTTGAATAGTCCACATTTGTAAGCCTAGCACACCATCAAACCCGTTCATTTTGCATTTCTTTTTCTCCCCTCCTCCCTCTTCGCCATAGCCACCCTGAACGATTATGAATAAGTCAAGTCAAAGAAAAGGTTTTGACTAGAAGCGTTCAGGGAACGCAGGGATGCCTGTGTTTTCCACGAAGCGCGCTCTCGAACGGTCCCGGGGACTGGCTCTCGTTAGCAAGAGCACACATCAATACAGTTGTCACTCGTTCTCCTTTGCAAGTCTAATGCTGCTTCACCTCGCCGGGTATTGTGCGTGCAGGCAGACCTCTGCGACAGAATCGCCGTCTCGGAGAGCTCAGGGCTCCCCGGGAGGAAGCCGCCCCGTAGCACCAGAAGGCTAGGGCTTCGGGGGGCGCACGGGCGAACTCCAACCCCAGGTCTGATCCGTTTCCCAAAGATCAGAACCGACAGCCGAGCATGCAGGCGTGGCGGCCGGGAGCCAAAGCCACCGTCTCCGTGTGTCTCTCCAGGCAAGAACTCCAACTCCGAAGAGCCCTTGGCACGCGTGCCAGAGAGACCCCCGCACAGACCAGCACACCGAGCCCACAAGGTAAAAGAGCCTCTTACTTTTTGGTGGATCGCCCATGTCTCCCATATCGGTAAGAGGGAGTAGTGTCCACAGTGAAATGGTGGGTGCACAGTTGGTGCACAGCCCACAGAGAGGATGCTGGAGCGGTGGGCCAGGGGGAGACCGCGGCCCGGGGGCTGC